TTACTAATGAGGGTTGAGAAGCTTCTGTTAATGAGATACAACCACTGGTTTACTTGCCCCTCTCCACTGTTTCACTCAGAACACTAGGACAATATCTGAATATGTTGAGGGCAGGCAGATTAGGCCTAAACAAAGTTTACAGATTAAAGAGCAAAAGGAAAGTCGGGTGAGATTTTGTGCATTGTTACAGTTACTGTTAAATAGGCTTTGTAGGTTAAAAAAAAAAAAGACAGGCTTTATTTATGTATTTATTTTACAAAAATAAGTGTTTTTGTTAAGTGAGGTCAAGAAAGACTGGCTTTATTTTATTTATTTATTTTTTAAAAAGAAGTGTTTATGATAAGTGAGGTCAAGAAAGACTGGCTTTATTTTATTTATTTATTTATTTTTTAAAAAAGAAGTGTTTATGATAAGTGAGGTCAAGAAAGACTGGCTTTATTTTATTTATTTATTTTAGAAAAATAAGTGTTTATGTTAAGTGAGGTCAAGAAAGACTGGCTTTATTTTATTGCATGTTTTATAAATACATTAACAACCTTAAACATGTGTTACAAATGCTTTTCAGATAAAGTGAGTATAAGCAAAACTGGTTGTCATTTTTATGTTGAGGCGGCAGTGCCAGCAGCCAAAAGTAACTAATTACGTAACTAGTAATCTAACTTAGTTGCTTATAAAATCAAGTAATCATTACAGTAACTAGATTACTTTTTAAATGAGTAATCAGTAGCCTAATCATAAATCAGATTACTTTTTCACAGTAACTGTGGCAACACTGCTTGTAACAGAGTATGACTACCCTGTGGTGTTAGTGCTTTTGCTTAAAAGAATTCTTTGACTGTAAAATGACCATTTGTATATGAGTTACCCTGAACCTTGAACCTACCTCAGTGTTCAACATAACATTTTTCCCCACTGGTCCCCCAGGCCAGTACTTCAGAGTTTCACTGGAGAGAAAAAAAAATGTCTATAAAACTCCATTTAATTTAATTTCATTTAACTCCATTATACCTCACCATAGTGCGTGATGGTATACAGCAGTCCTCACAGAAGCTGATGTATGATGTCACAGCCTCCGTGTACTCATCCAGACTATTGGTGGCGGACCTGAAAACACCCCAGTCAGTAGTGTCCAAACACGCCTGGAGATCCTCTACAGCATCACTGCTCCACTTCTTAGATGACCTCACAACAGGTTTACAGAGCTTTAACTTCTGCCTGTATGAGTGAAACAGGTGGACGGTGGAGTGGTCAGAGTGGCCCAGTGCATAGGCGTGATAGGCGTTGTTGACAGTTGTATAACAGTGATCCAGGATATTCTTCTCTCTGGTCAGACATTTTATAAACTGTTTGTATTTGGGGAGTTCATGGGTGAGGTTACCTTTGTTAAAGTCGCCAAGGACAATAACTAAGGAGTCTGGGTAAGTCTGCTCCACACAGTATCTGGTCGGCGAGCGTGCGTTGTAGCCTACCTACTGCACGTTGGCCGGCGGTGGGATGTAAACACCCACCAGAACGAATGAAGCAAACTCACGGTGGGAGTAAAAAGGTTTGCAGTTGATGAAAAAAGATTCCAGATCAGGAGAGCAGTGCTGCTGGATCACTGTCACGTCATTACACCAGCCACTGTAAGTATAAAAACAGATACCTCCACCTTTGGTTTTGCCAGAGAGTTCCGTGTTACGATCCGCTCTGAAGAGTTGGAAGCCTGCCAGCTGCAGCGCAGACTCCAGTATCGATCCACACAGCTACGTCTCCGTGAAGCACAAAACTGCAGATGTAGAAAAGTCTCGGTTTTTCACCATCAGTAGCGGAAGTTCATCCAGTTTGTTGGTCAGCGAACGCACGTTGGAGAGAAATATACCTGGCAGCGGTGTGCGGTGTCCACATTGGTGGAGACGCACAAGCGCAATGGCACGTTTCCCCCTTCTCCGGCGTTTCACTGCACAGGCAAAGGTGAGGGCACCTTTGGCCAAAAAGCCCAATAAATCCACTGAAGGCTCAAGAAAAGTGGGGAAAAAATCCGCTGGAGTTGTTCCCCTGACAGCCTGATATATATTAGCCTACTGAGGTAATGTTAGCTTCTCGGGCATGCTTAGCATAGAACATCTCACTGAGCTCTGACCTGTCGCGCGCGGCGTGGTTAAAAAAACAAACACACAAAAAAACCTTATAGTGTCACTGGCCTGAGTGGGCCTGTGACTGGTCAGTCAACTTGACCGACATACTTTTTGATTGGCCCCGGGCCATCGGGCCATTGCTTATGTCGAACACTGCTACCTTGAATTTGCAAAGAAAGCTTAGTTTTTTCCCATGCCTCCACACTAAACAGAGCAACCAAAAATGTTGAACATTCTTCATGATTTAAAGTAAATGAGGAACACGTTTAACATCAGAAAAACTAAACTAAGCACAAAAAGTAAGGAAATTTGTGTTTGGTAGATTATTTCTTTGTTGTAACAATGCTTCTTGGCAATTAAAAAGCCTGTTTATTACCCTTTTAAATGGTACCACATTTGTAAGGAACATGAATTTGTGGGTTGAGCAGCAGAGCTGAGTATATGGGTTGCGCCCATGAAAAAATTGCCAAATCTTTTCTTTTCTTTTTTTTGTTGCTATTGACTCTTGTTTTGAGCTTCTGGTATTCCCAGGTGCTGACAATCAGGTGTCAATCAGGCACCTGATTGTCAGCACCTGTGAACATTGGCCCTGCTACAGTGGTCAGTTGGTGTCTGCTCCAAGAATTGGCATACCACATTTGACTGGTCTGGATAGGGCCCCTGCAATAGGGCAACTTCAAGCTGGTGTTCCACAAAACCAAGTTGTGGCATTATTTGGAGTGAGCCCTAGTAAACTAAAAGGCCAAGTTCCATATAACGGGGGATGTCAGAGACAGGCCACGGAGTGGGCGTCCCAAGAAGACAGCACCCCACGAAGACCGTTTCCTCATCCTGTCAGCACTTAGGAACTGTAGGCAGTCTTCTACAGATTTGCAAGCAAGGTTTGCAGGATGATGTGGCTGACGGCTCTCTGCCCAGACAATCCAGAACCGACTGCACGCAGCCAATCTCCGATCTCATAGGAGGCCTGCCACGACTGCCCTTCACGTCAGGCCTGTTTGCTCTGGTGTTGGCAACCAGGGGCGTTGCCAGGGATTTTGGGCCCCATGAAAACAATTTTTACTGGGCTCCTCACACAGCTGGCTGGGAGGCTGTTGAAAATTTTTGATGCTATATTACATAAAACTATGCATTTTGATGGTATTTTTGACTATCATTCCCATATTTGTGAAAAAAGAACAATCTCTTCCTCCACTTCCACATTCCTCCCTGACAAACTTGAAGAGGATCCTGGACCTGGCTCTGTAGAGTGTACGTGACATACATAAATTATATAGTATTTCCTATAATGTAGCTTAACTATTGTAATAGCATCATAGTCACCGCTTCAGGTGGCCTCCCACCATTTTGTTTTACTTAAAGGTGCTTTCAGTGATTTGACCAAAAATAACAAAAGAAAATGCGATTTTCACTAACAATCCCCCACTGCTCACTGTCTCCCTCTTGTAGGTCTAATTTATCTCCAAAACTGGGGACTCACAGGTGGTGGCATTGGATTTGAGGTGAAAAAATACATATATAAGGCTATATGGTCATTAATCTATTTTTCTTCTTATTTCCAGAATATGTAAACATTTCTCTGATTGGATTGAGAGCAGTCTGCTGCACACACCACAAATTTTCTTCTCTGTTCCTACTGCAATTCTTCTATTTCAGTGATAGCTGAATTTTAACAAAACAAAAAAGTTTTAAATATATATACAGTATACATATATATATATATGTATATGTATATGTATATATATGCTTTTTAAATCATTAAAATTGTTCAGAACGATTTTTATTTCATTTATTTTAATTAATCTTTTCCATAATAAGAGATTCATCTTTTATATCTTTTGTGTATATTGTTTTTTGTTCTTATCTGACATTTGAGTCTATAATAAAGTTTATCATTATTATAAATTCAACACACAGCTGCTCACCTCCTTCCTCACGTGGGGGTACTGGTTCAGGGGCAGGTGGAGTTGGGGGCTGACAGACAGCTGCTGCTGCTGCTGTTGCTGCTGCTGCTGCTGCACTTGACGTATCTGTTCGGAACGAGGCATCATTTTGACAGAGGGGAGGTCAACTGATTGAATATGAGCAGCTTGCTAAACATTTGACTGTATTGATTATTTAAGTAAAACAACAGTGAAATGTAAAAATCCAGAGTTTTCTTCAGAAATATGAGCTAACGTGGGTAGAAAAGTGAGCTAGCTTATAGACCACGGACAACGTTAATATTCCATAACTTTCCACCACATGAACCACTAACAAACCCACCTTGCTTTTTGAAATACTGGGTGACATACCGTCGACCCTTTGCTTCTTTCTCCTCTCTTAGCTTCCTTTCTTTCCATTTTTGGCTACCTGATTTTTTAGCCATATTGCCGTCTCTGCCTCCTTACCCGCTGTCTGTGACAAATTACCGGCGCACTGCAGCTGATCCAGTGGGACTGAACAATGGTTTTAATGTTTTGGCTGA